AAATAATTGTTTGACAAAATAAACTAAACAGAAATTCTCTCCCAGGTAAGGCAAAGGCAGTACTTTGTCTTAGTTGCTGATCTAGATTAAGGTCATAATTTTGCATTTTCATACCCAGTTTTCATGGGCAAGGAATATGTTTGCCACAAAGGCGTCGAGCTTGAAGAAAGAAAGAAAAAAAGCAAAACGATATAATTAAAGATAAAATACAGTAGGCTTCGGATGCAACTACAATTTAAGTAGACTTCAATGCCTACCAAGCGATTTTTTCAAGAAGCAAAAATAACAAATTTGAGAGGCAGTAATGGTAGATCGTAATTAAAAATTCTTTCAGTAAATTATGACATTGCAACATTCCATAACTTACGGTTTTTCGGTACGCGTGTAACCTGGATGTCTCGTGCAGATGTCTATTCCGTTGAAAATAAGAACGCAATTCTTCCAGTTCTACTGAAAGCAGATCCAGCTGAAGGAAAAGGATGAAACTTTAGTAAGCCACTTTCACACCAACATCCCGCTGCTTCGAGGAGCATTTGGAGACCTTCATATTGCCATTACACAGAGCCACTGCTCGCCTTAAACTGATGTCCCAAACTCGGTGATACCTCTTTGGGAAACGATAAGTAAGTTACACTGAGGACTGACCTTTTCCCATGCAGGAACTAAGCGCGGACGTTTTTTAAAGTGAATTAGTAAATCAAAACAATTTGGAAGTCTAAATAAGTAGTTTGCGCATGTTTTACTTTATTTATGAATTATATTCGTACTACGGGAATAACCATCATCATTTCGATATATTATAGGTCGTAACCAAAATCTCGTAAATGCGCGAAAATGAGGAAATTGCCAAGGAAAATATAATCGAAACGTACCTTCCACCCTATAGGTTCGAATTTCAGCCAGTCTTCAGTGGAACCGGTAAAGACGTCCTAAACCGTTACAAAAATGACTATTAACCGCAGATCTGCCATCAAATATAACACTTCTTCCCAATTCAGTATTTCAACAAACCTGGTTTTTAAAATTCACTAGCTCTTCTCGAATCCGTTGTAATTCTCCATGTAGTTTCTTCGCAAATCTCACCCGGTTCAGTCTTGTCTGGAAATTCACAGAGATTCAGGGTAATGAGATGCATGCTGTGGTAGAACCCGTTTACCGAAGTCTAAGTAAACTGTTACCTATTTACATGACGTATTAAGGAATCAAAAGGAACAAAGGTGTTACTGGGTCAGCTGAGAGACCCTAGTGACAAGGTCACACGGAGCTACATGATCATGCATATCGATAAAGACTGCAAAAACCGTTTAACGTATTGAAATATGAAACGGTGAGGGAAGCAGGTGAAGCATAGGGGGAAGCGGCCGCTACGCAAACATACCTTGTTTATTAATTCATCTAGGATCCTTTCTGTCTCGCACAGATTACTTTTGAGGATCTCTGCGTCCGGAGGTGGGTATTCCATGGAAGCCTTAGCCTGAAGAAAAACAAAGGGGTAGCGAGATAAAAGAACAAAGTGATAGCTTGTAGCTTTTTACCTTTTTGCCTGCAGTATAATCCCTACCTCATGATATCTCAACTGAAATTCTGAAATGTGTTTTTGATTAGAACCTACTAATTACGAAATGTTTAAATAATTTTTATCACACAGTTCAAACTTACTAGAATTAATTAACATCAAATTGCCAGCCTTTTGGAGGATCATCATTTTGACCACCTGCACCAGGTACAGGGTGTCCTAACGAATTGTATAGACACTTGACATAATTGTAAAATTGGTGTTTATCGTACAGTTTTTAAAAACAAAAAATATCAACAAGTATCATTTTGTTGTTTTTTTTTCACTGAATATTATCAAACTGACGTTCATTTTAGTGATGACACTGCTGACAACGCGATGCAATGGGATCGCATACATCGTGAAACAATTCCCTTGATATTCGGGTGCAATTATGCTTGATGGCTTCTCTCAATTCAGCCACTGTTGTAATAGTAAAAATACAGTGAAAAAGCAACAACATGATACTTGTAAATTCCTTTTACACTTTTAAAATAATAAAATTATAATAAATCCCATGATAAATTATATAAAATGCGTATACAGGTTTTTGGGACACGCTGTATTTATTATAAAATATGACTACATAAATTGTATACAGTATTCTCATCGATTTGTACTGCCCTAATAAATTCATACATATTTTATAGATAACCTGAGAAAATATGTTCATTTTTCTACTCGTTCTAATCGATCACGACGAACCTAACCTGATTATTAGTGTTTCCTCTTTGTAATTTCAATATCAGAGTTCATTTAAAAATCAGTAGAGAGTTCCCTGGATCGACTCAATGTCTGGTCAAAGGTATTAATACACATATTTTGCAGTATTCATTTAGAACAAACCTTTTTGAAGGACTCAATCGCCAACTGTAAATCCTTCTGAAAGTATTTGTTCGATTGAAGCACCTTATCAAAGTCACAGATGTCCTGGTTCTGGAGACGAGAAAGTGAATATACTGGATGTCACATAACTCTAGGATAGTTGAATTTAGAAATTTCCCAATAACTATAGAATTCGAATAGTATCAGTGTCTGAATTCTAATACGTAAAGCTTTACAATGGCAAAATCATTACCTGTTGCAGATATAAAGCCCTTAGAGAATGGGCTTGGTACGTATTTTTAGGTTTCTCAAAAGTTATTCATTTGCAAAGCAACGTCTTTTTGTCGTAAACTACAGTTTGAAAATTTAGCCAAGATATAGAAATTTGTTTCTTAAAAGGGTGTTCATTATTATTTCCACATATTAGTTTGCGCGTTAATGGGAATTTCCGAGTGCTAAAGAGTATTTCATGTATTTTAACAGTTTAGATCACATAGGACATGCACAGTGCGGCATGGCGTTCATGCAAAGTCTTTATCAAAATGGATTTTGTAGTTAAGTATTCACTTAGTCATTTTATTTTGCTCTAGTGAGAAAAACTACCTTGCTAGTTTAGTTTACGGACGACAATAGTCATTAAGTTGGGTAAAACCGGAAGTGGCCTGATATCGAAGAGATTTCCTA